CTCAATCCCTGAATTACTTTAAAACAATCGTACATTATTTCCCATCCAAACAAAAATTCAAGGAGTTTTCATCATTTTCAAGAAATTCAGCAAAAATTCTTCTTTTCAAGGGCTTTTCAAGCGCCCTTGAAATTTAAAATCAAATCCCAGGGGTTTTCAAGGACTTCGAGGAGTAGCACGAACCCTGTGATTGATCATTTTCTTTTTAGCAATAAAAGGTATGTCCCACTGATATTCATTTTCTTTCACACAAATAAGGTGGGTTTTAAATAAAGGGTTTAGTTTCTGTTCTTCCATCCTAGTCTAATAGCATAATAGAAAAACAAAATCTTACCTCCTGTCATTTGCCTGACAAATGACCACACTAGGGCTCCTGTTAGAAGATAACAGGACAGAAATACATAAGTAATGTTCAAATGTAATTTTGTTAGTCCAAAAGTGAGATAGACAAAATCTTACCTGCTCCCCTCATGATCCTGGCGGCTAGGGACGACAGGACTATCCTTTCTGGTTGTGCGGCTTTTAGCATCATTTGGAAAGTGGGATCTAAATATCGGGATCTTGATCAGACAACAGTCAGAAACAAATATGTAATGCAATGTAACTTAACGTAATATGGAAGAGGACAACAGAGTGTGTCCTCTGTATATTTTATGCTAGCCGTAAGCTCACATGTTGGCATGCAAGGGCACCACTGTCTGCCACTAAGGCTATGATTGTGAGGTAAGTGTGTGTTATGTGCGACAGTAGAAGTGATAACCGACTTAGAGGGAGACCATACCATCGGGGAAACCTTCCTGCTCTTTTCTTGGAATAGAAGTGCGTGTGTGTTTTACCTCCCCTTCGCCGAGTTCAATGTGGTGGAAAGGATGAAGGAGACAAGGCAAATGGCTTATCTGCACTGCTTAATGACATGATCATCTGAACTGAGACATGAACTTGACACAGCCAGCATTATTACCAGTTTTTTAAAGAATCTGGTCACTGATGCGACCAACGTTTGAAACTGTGAATTGAGAAGTCATAATCACTTTCACTGATCCCCTCCCTTGCAGACCTTTTTGACAATGCATTCCACTCTTTCTGTGTTGGAGGCATCTCATTTAACCTTCAAGCAGGTATATGGTAGTAGACTTTATTTAGATTCTCGGTGACTGGCTTTCGGATTTGATGGTGTATGCTCCTTTATCTTATGGTTCCCACTATCCGACTTAAATTACTTATTATAATATACTAGCTAAAGCTATTATTTCAAATCAAACTAGGAGACACTTCACTCTACCCTTCGATTTGGAGTGTAATTTGGTCGTTATAATACATTATGTTCTTGTATTAACCTAATTTCAATAAAGCCTGTCTTAGTCTCAACCCAGTTGTGCTGTTTTGTTTTCTCTCCTGGTTGTGTGATTTAGGGAAAGGATCAGTTCCGAGTATGCTTGTCTAAATCATAAACCAGGGTTTTAGGGCTATCATGTAAAACTACTCCTCAGGTCGAGTAATCAGTTAATTAATAATTGTATTATGTGCACATATTAAAGTAGGTACCTTGAGCATAGCAGAAGGAGCTAGTACAGCTCCCTTTCCTCCCCAACCCACCCAGGTATATCAGGTATGTTAGTGTCCTTTTCTCATAGTTTTTGGTCTTCCCTCCTGGGACCGATATAGTGCCTGATAACATAACAAGTAAATTTTACCTTCATCTAATTGACGAGATAAGCTATCGCCAACAATCCGCATTATGTCTAAAACATAAAACAATGACATTTGCAAGTTACTTTTAAAAAAGAAAAGTTATCATATATTTCAAACAAGGAAAAAGGATACGAAAACATCTGCAAAACCAAATCAACACTCCGAATACCTGCTCCGTCAATAAAATGATGTTGCTCCAACATATTTACTCTTTTAAGGAGGTCAATTTTCTCCGTCTGGATTAAAATCTCCTTTAAGGTTGTAAGACAGTCGATTCCAAGACAGCCGTTGCTTTCTAGCTCCCTAAACAATGAGCTAACATCGTGGATGCTGGCTCGTCTTCCTTCTGTTATATTTCCTCTGCAAATCGAGATGAGTCGTTCCAGATCATTAAGCTCGTCGAGTACTCGTATGATCTTCTCAAGCAAGTTGTTGTAGTTCTTTCTTCTGCACTCAAACTTTTCAAGCTCTTCTAGAAAATCCCATTCCTTGACGCCTTTTAAAATGGCCTTCAATACTGTTAGACGATCGGAACTCAGAAATCCTTTCACCTCTAATTCTACAAACAACGTAAAGGTAGGGATGTTTTCTTCGCCACGGCGAGCCGCCACCTTTCCTCTGCATATCACTAGTAATTGCTTGCCGGCATTTCTGTTGTCCAGTCTTTTGCTTATTTGGAACAGTAAATTCTTATATTCCGACTCAGACATTTTAAAACTACGACCGACTCGATACTCCTTCCCTGGGTTGTAGCAACACCGCGGCAAAACGTCTACGCATGCGCCAGGTTGAGCATTTCCGGTCTCTTTTTCAGTCACACTTTCCAGTCAGATCAAAGTCTCCCGCGCGCGCTCGGCTTCACTCTGTGTGCAGCTTGTGGTTCAGTTGTTCTGCTTCATGCTGCTCGTGTTTTTGACTATTTCGTAGTTATTGAAATTGCTTTTATGGATAACCAGGCACAGATCACTGAAACAATTAGTCGATTAGATTCAGAAAAGGTAAGTTGATAATAACTCAGTGTGTAATTTTGGCTAGAGCGTCAGGTAAACTGATTTTCATTCACGAAAACAAAGTTTTTGACTGTTATTTTTCACTTAACCTGGCTGAAACTAAGACATAAAAAGTTATCATTGCAAGTTGGTGTATTGTAGTTCTAATCTTCAGTTCTTCAGTGTCTCAGTCTTCATGCCTTAAAGCCAATTCGAGCTTTATTTATTTATTTTTTATTTTCGTGTTTTGAAACGAAACTCTTCTGAGTTGATTGCCATGAAACATAAGCTTAATTATACTGCTGAAGTTGGCAGCAAGTTGACAACTCTATTTATTTTTTTCATTCTCAGAATCAGAGAGCGAAAGCTGGTTCGATGGCTTTTAGAAGTCGAAATTTCATGCCATGTATTTAGTAGCTGAAAGTTTCGCGTTTGCGTGAGATGCAGCCGAGCCGCACAGTCTGAAATTATTGAAGTCTTCACCGACCAAAGAACAACCAAAGAAAAACCATGTAAAAGAATTAAATAGGCATTTTCTTGAATGAAAGTCTTTATAGGCATGTTTAGTTTCCCAGCACTGAAAGCTCGGGGTGTTTGTGACTGCAGTCATCAAAGTCGAGGTTGTTAGTAAATCCCGCACATCTTTTGTTTTGAGTTCTTGTTTTCTCTGATAATAAAAAAATTGTTGAACAGACTAAAATTTCATTTCCTGGTTCTAGTGTTAATGATAATGATGACGTCTTTATTTTGCTTTCTTTCATAAGTATTGCCATTCTTTTCTTAGTTATCGCCTTCTCCCAAATTACTTATGCTAAACCAGTAGCATGCAAGAAAGCCAGTGAAAACAAATTCGTCTTGTCGAGCGCTCGCGACCTGCAAACTTCAAACATCATTTTCACCGTTGGTGCAAACAGATAACCATGTGGTGCAAAAGTTTGACACTAGAAAAATATATAAGCTTTCGAATGAAGTGATTTTTTTGGCCTCCTTTTTTGTCTGTTTCGCCCTTTTTGCTTTTAAACTTGGCGCGACGGCAATGTCATGCTTACGCAATTAGTTTATATACTAGATCGGAAATAAAAAGCTGACCGGATGTTAAATTTTGTGCTCATGCGCAGTGCGTTTTGCTGCGGTGTTGGTTGTAGCTGAGGTCTCAACTATCTTGCCTAGTCCCTAGGCCTTATTATTCCGCGCGGCCAAAGCGTTTCGGGTCACGTGGTCCAAGTGAAAACGTTCGCTTCGGATACGTCACAATAGCCTGCTTAAGATCCGACGACGGCAGACGTCTGTGACGGCGAGCGGAAGTGAAATTACTACTAGAAAGACTTCCGGCTGCCGTCGTTGCGAAGTTTTCCGCCGTAGCGGCCTTGTCTGTGACGTGAAGAAGGCCATTTTGCCGTCGCGTGTAAAACGTGAGTAAACTTGATCAAAATAATGCCATTTAAACACATTTTGAGCGAAATTCTTTAGCACTGTTAACAGTTTATTCTCAGTAGACCATTTTTGTCGAATTTCTAAGCGACTTAAACGATTTGAACACGGTATTTAAATTACATTTGTTTGCCCTCTCTAAACAGTTTGACTCGTTAATCGCCATGGACTCAGTCAACTCGACAAAGAAAGCAACCCAGTAAGTTTTACAAGTTTTTTCTTGAGTTTATTGATGTGTTTATTAACAATTATGATATCGTAGACTGTTTTGGCATTAAATTGAGGTCCAATGGATTATGTCACTCATCTTTTCGTCAAGCCTCTCGAGGTCAAAATTTTCGTAATTCTGGTAGGGAAAATCCGGATTTTTAGATCTGTTGACATCATACAACAGTAAATATTCATCTTCTGAAATGTCGCCATCATCGAAACTTGTCAGTAACAATTCACGAACCTTTCTAAAAGTAGTCATCACTCTTGTATTTATTTCTAAACTTCAACAGGAAAAGGCGCTACAACAACCCGCCGTCGCGCGAGCTTTCTTAATAGAGACCTTACGCAACAGGACGGCCCGAAGAGGACGGCGACTTGTGTTCGCGTGAGGACTAGGTCGAGCACGCGAGCTATGACGTTGCCGTCCTGTACGTAAACAAACCTTACGCAACACAATGCAACGACAGAGGAAAACCTAACCTGGCTACAACTTGTAAGTGCTTAATGTGCAGCAAAATCGGAACTTTCCGCGACTAAAAAAGCGGTTTTTTAACAGCAAATGACATGAACCTCAGTGCAGACAGCGAA